AAAAGTACAACTGCTAAGTTTCTAAAAGTCAAATGCATTTTTTATGCTTCAGGCGTTTGAGGCAGTTTATAAGTGCAGGCGGTATTTTAAAAATGTCACCGTATTGTTTGATTCGCGCGTTTCGTCAGCTTATCTGAAACTCCGTTTGGATTTTTACACTAAATGCGGGCACAGGGGATAAGTAGCTTATCCTGAAACGCAGAACCTATCCCAAACAGACCCTCAGTTTATGACACCAATGTGTTATAAATGTAAATTTCAAAGGTTGCATGTTGCGCAAATTCATAATAATTGTGTTGTATGTATATAAATCTCCCTATATTCAAAATTAAAGTTATGTGTCAGGTATATAAATACATAAAAAATGAGTGGCATGTATGTAAATCTTCTCTCTTTTCTTTTCCCATAATCACAACAAAACTGTAAAACTACTACTTGTCCAAGGAATAACAACAATTCAAAAGCAGAAAACCAACTTCCACCAGCAATCTTACAAACATCACTCTATAACTAAACCAGCAGTGCAATTTAAATAAATTGGGCCAATTGCATACATAACACCCAAAATATTGCTATTTGCAAATCTACCACTCTCTTTCATCCAATTTTCAAATTCCCATTCAAATATCAAAATTCATGATAAAAACCAAACTCAAAATTTTCATTTATATCAAATTCTCAATAATTTGATCATGGCACGCGTAAATACATCAGTTCAGTAGTTCAAAAATATCACCCAGGTGTTGGATATTATAAATAACAATATTTCGGGTGCTTTGCATGCAGTTATCGCAGATAAACTTTCTGCATTTAATACATCCAGAAATCATTAATCAACAGAACTATAATCAAGAGACATGATTGTTCATCTTGGCTTCGAAATCTATAGTTCTTCCAGACTTGCAGGAATCACCTTCTCTTACGCAGTCCTCTCTTTCTACCATCATCCCCACCTTCCCATGCACTTCCCCAGAAGAAAAGAGACATCCAGAACAGAACAGCGAAGAATATCCTCAAGCCATCCTCCGCTCTTGCAAACATAGACCGCAGGCCTATCCAAAAGTAAAAATAAAGAGCATCAGTTATAATTTTAGGCAAATTTGCATAAATACTACACAATTCTTATTTATTTACATATATGCATATTCATGACATTTTGGTGCCATAAAACTATGTATAACAATGTGTATTTTGCTTTTAAGTAAGAAATAGTGGTGTTTTTTTTATGTGATATTACGATTTGAGTGTTATAAGTGTTAATATAAAAGTTTTGGTGGAATTAAACATATATTTGTCAGCACCGTTGTTTTTTTCTTTTTCAATTCAATAGATTTATACTTATTGCAGTAATTTTGATATATTCTTTTGATGAGCATTAGAAATTATAGCACTGACTTTGTATTAATCATGCTATTCTTTCTATGTAGTTTGATTTCTTTAAAATATATTGCGACTGGTATTTTAAGTCAACGAAATCAAGACTGCAATGTGCCTTATTTGCCAATAGTACAAGGAAAAGCAGGTTTTTGAAAAAGTTGCTTAAGATATAGCAATGATAGATTTGTAACCCGAGCTGGGGGCTTATAGAATGTTTTAAGACGGGAACAAACAATTAGACGGAGATATGAAATTTTTAAGTTCTAACACTATCACTAACTAATGATAGAATCATCTAATTAATTGAAAGAGCCACTAAAAATTGAAAGTTAAATTAATTTAATGTTACAATAGTTATGAATATATAATTAAATTTATCTCGTATGTTTACAATAGTTATGAATATATAATTAAATTTATCTCGTTTCTTCACTTTGTTCACATATTTTATAAATATTTCCTTTTTAATTTTCAAAATGGAGTATTAACAATTCAGTGAATACTCAGATCTCTCGTTACAATAATAGAACAAATAAATAAAATGATACACATGCTTATCAAGTTTACTGAATCAATATAAAATCATTTGACAGTTTATATATTAAAAAATGACCAGTCAAGAAGTTCTAATCAGTCTATCATATTGTACAATATCTTAAAAATATTCTATTATTTATATTCATCACAAAAGCACCGTAAAAAATGTACCATTTAAAATACTTCAATATCAATAATTTTTTTAAGTTTACGAGCACGAATACTTTAACATCCTTATTTAGTCTACAAGGGGGTAAACTCCATTAGTTAACATGCACATACAAACATTCTATATAATTTAATTCATTTCCATATTCATATCATTTAATATTTATATAATAATAAATATCTAAACTATATAATTTCAAAGTGTTAAGAACATATGAAATTCATTCTAATTTGATCAATCATTCAATCTAATATATGAATCATAAATAAATTTATAGTCTCAATCAATTTAATAAGTCCTAATATTATTTAAACATACTATTAGTTAGAAGAAACAAAAAATATTATTAAAATTTAGAAATACAAGTACTCAAAAAAGATATGCAAATGTTATTCCTCGATCTCACCCTCAACGTCAACCTAAACTCTGAATATTTATTTCTATAAATATAACACAAACTAAGATATACATTTATGAAATAAATTATTTGAAGTATAACTTTTTATTTAAATTAGTTTTCATTTCTTTGATCTTTCTTAAAAACCAATAATCCATTTTATCTTGAATATATTTATAATTATTAAAATTAATTGGAATTATGAATCACTTATATCTAATTCAGCCAACAAAAAGAAAAAAAAGAGCAATTGAGTATTTTTTCCTGCAATTCAACTATCTTTTGCAAAGAAAAAAAAAGATCAAAATCAAGAAAATTGAAGCATCAGTAAAAAAATAAATAGAAAGAACAAGTCCATATATTAGGAAAAGCGATCACCAAAGTAAAGAAAATTCATGCACCGTAGTAGCACAAGAAGAAATCATTTCACCAAAGTTCTCTCTCTCACTTGCATTGTACCATAAAGAATTTCACATCCAACAACTACCACCACACAACAACATGCCTTTATGCCACTAAGTGGGGTCGGCTACGTGAATCATTTTTCTCCATCGTGTCCAATTGAGTGTCATATTTTGACGAAAAGAATAAATAGCACACGATTCAAGTTTTTCATCTATTTATAATCATCAAAATACCTAGTCAGCTACCTCTAAATTGGTTCAATTCTAATCCCATAATCACTAAAAAGTTGGCATGATCATGCTTGCTGAGTTCTAAAGGAAAATCCAAATACATCCATCCCTTTTTATCTAATGCAAGATAGGAACAACATAGGTATGACAAAACTTTCAATAAATCTCACACTAAATAGAGAACTGCCTTTAGTAAAGCTGTGAGCATATAAGCCACATCAGCTGTAGAGCCTAATTTCCAATACTATAAATAAATAATACATATCTTGTTCCCAATCAACAAAATCATTAGTTGAATCCCCAATAGACATATCCAGTGATTTGCAATTGCTTCTGGCGCATGAACGCCCAACGACATATCCCGTGAAATTAGATTTAAATCGAATCATAGAAGATAATATTAAGACTAGAAGCAATATATAAAGAGCATATGCCATTCTCATAAGCTACATTATAGACATCCTTAGAAATAATTGAAATTAAAATAACAAAACAAAATAAAATAAAGTTGTTCGGAAAAATTTATCTTTAATGAATTTAGTATTTGTTATTTTTTATCACGAGAAATCATTTTTACCTGAAAAGCAATCATGAGACATCATGACAGACTATCATAAACAAGTCTGTCATGATAGTGCACAAGTTATTTATGAAATCAAAATTCATAAGGGAAAAAGTTTCATCACCTAAAATGATATACAAAATAAACTATGTAAATTTGTTTGGCAAAATGTTGACCACAGTTCAAAGAAGATGAAAAAAGAGACGAATCTAAGGCTTAACAATAAGTTCATAAAATAAGGTCTAACCTATAACATAAAGGATTGCATTAATGCCAGAATTTCTTGAAAATTTTAATCCACTGAAAATTTTTAAAAACCCCATCTTTCCTTCATTTAATTTATTAAAATTTGTTGAAGAATGCCTTCCCAATTTAAATGCACAAACGGAGATGAAAAAAGAGACGAATGTAATACTTAACAAGAAGTTCATAAAAAAATGATAACACAAAGGATTGCATTAATGTCATACTTTCTTGAGCAATTTAATTTATAGTAAATAATTTTAATAATTGTTAAATTTTCAATAACCCCATCTTTCCTGCATTTAATTTCTTAAATTTTTTTGAAGAATGCCTTCCCAATTTAAATGCACAATGACTTTATCATCAGATTTGAATTCGATATATGGCTTGTTCACAAAAGCAAAAGACTTATAATTGCGATAATCAGAAGCCTTTTGTTTTGTAAATTTTTTTCATATAAATCATTCAAATGACGTGTAAATGATTATACAAATGCACTAAGCCAATACTCTATAAGAAGCTCTACACGAGTTATAAGCTTTCTAGTTTGAAATCCTATAAAAAAATCAAATGGCTCATTCTTAGAACTATTATTAACAAAATTGCACGAGTTAAAGTTATCTTTCCCTATTTTTAGAGAAATAGCAATGGCAACACAAAAGAAAAGTCATATTTTTTAAGAGTTATTTATAATCCTACAACAAATTCTTGCTAACATCCTCCTAAGGCTAATATAAAACAAGCAAAGGAGCATAAAACCTTGACTTGTATCACTTTGGTAGTTTGACAAGTCCTGTACTGAAAAATTATTGCACTTAATGCCTATCTTCAATCACTGTTATAGTCTTATCCCACTCAAAATATCCAACAAATCCACCATGTAATTTTAAATTTAAAAGATTCAACAAAGATAAATAAAAAATGTAAAGATGAATACTATTAAATAAAAAATAATCTCTAAGCATAACTAATATTTTTTTTAATTTGATTAAAAATAATCACCCAAACTGCATTGAATTTAAATCAATAGATTTATTCTCAACTCTAGCACAATGGATAGGGACAAAAGCATCTTCTATATATACTCAACCCATTTATCATGTATTTGTCTAACTTTTTATATAAACAACAGAATAAAGTATAAACTCTTTAGGCAATAACTAATATCTCTCGAAATGGAAAGCCTACAAAACATTTTCATAATCATAAGTTGGATGTTACTAATTAATTTCATTGAATTTCTCTAAAAAAGTTAACGAGATACTCTGATTAAAATAAACTTCAATACCTACACTAGACGTGCTGAAAGAATCCTTATATGCTTAATATTAAAATCAACCATTTTAAGTGTAGGTGTATTTGTAACCCTCTCCATGACCTAAAAGAAGGGGTCAACAGAATCAATCCATTTAAACTCTTCATTCACAAAGATATTTGGAAATTAGCGATATTTGGAAATTGGAGCCATGACAATACTACCCCTCACTAAATCATCTATAAACAATATTCATTCTATGAAAATTTCAAATTTTATGATATCAAAAGGTGTTAGTCCACTATGAATTGCCTTAACATTATTAGAATGAAAAAAAACATTCATCATCATACATATATAAATCCTGAAGGATGGCAGACGATGCTACAAAATAACATTTCTTCAGATTCATATTAATTTATCAACTTATATAAAAAAAAAAACCTACTCTAAAATGTGCTCAATGATCATCTAATCCTTGCCATAAAACATAATATCATCAAAGTAAGCGAGAGATTTATCGATAAAAGATCGTAAGATAAGATTCCTTATTTATAAAAATAGTAGATACTTTATTTTAACTAAAAGGGAATCACTAGCCATTCATATAATTATATTTTATCTTAAAAGCTATTTTAAAATATCGTCTTCACTTATTCTTAAGTATGATAACAACTTAACTTTTTAATAGCATATAAAGCATATCATCCAACCAAGATAGATAATGATAAATTTGTTGATTGTTTTACTATCTACACATATGCTAACTACCATCTTACTTTAGATGTCAATAAAACTAGAACAACATATAAATTCATACTTATTTTAATAAATCTTTTCTCAAGCAAATTATAAATTAGTTTTTTTATGCTCAACATGCTTAGCTTGATTCATCATATCTTGAGGCAAATTGGCTAATGATGATAGCAAATTTAAGCCAATACATGTTGCATGTCCGTAAGTGAGCATCATCAATCAGAGTCTAAATCTCAAGCACATCATTCCACCAAAGCATACATCACATATTCTTATCTCTCCAATTTTCAAATGCATATGAACTCATAATGTGTAATATTTTCCCTTTCATTGAGAGCATTGCATTCTTTTGTAGACTAAAATTCACCTTCAGATTTTGTATGTTTTAGAAATACTATCCCATTAGGCTTGAACATGTAAGTATTACAAATTCCAAAATTAATCACATCTAAATCATAAAACCAATTAACTAAAATAACGTGAGCAATATCCATAAGCAACACATTGCCCCAAGTTCTATTAATATAAGAAACTCATTGACTAAAAAATAAATACCTTTGGGAGCAAAAACAACAATTTTGTCAACTTCATATAGTTGCAAAGTTTTAGACACAACAGTCTATAACAGATTTTGACATGATATTCATGTAATTTTCACTATTAATGATAAGATTGCAACGTCTTCTTCATGCTTGAAATATATTTAAGCATTTACAATCCTTTTTCAATCAAACAAAACTTTATTAAACTCATGGACATCATCATTCTCATCTAACAAATCAAACTCCCAAATCTACCAAATCATCATTCACATCGTCATTCAAAATTATTCAAATCCATAATACAATATGCTACAGGATCTAATTAATCATTAAAATAGACACTTTAATTTAAACCTTTTTGGTTATATTAATTATTTATGTCAATGTTTTAACATCAATGATTTCTATAAACTTTACTATCAAACAACCTATAATACCTAAATTGCTCATTTTTCCCAAAGTTATTCTAGTCTCCTTCTTATGTTAACATTTGAGTAAATGGTTCAACATAATGATTAGACTTCAAATTTATGTGCAAAAACTTGATTGGTTTTAAAATTTTCAGTTCTCTCATTAACTAGATTAATATCCACACATATTTAATTTTGATTATTTAATTATTTATCAAATTGATTAAGTAAAATGGTCAAAATATTATTCCTTTGATGATCCATTAAATTATCTTGATATTGAGTTCCACTTCCAACTGACATAAAGATAAAACTGATGTACTTGATACCAAATTGAAGCATGATATTTAGAGCGTAGGAGATTTTATAAACTAGAGTGATGCATTGAATGTAAATAAAAATAAAAATTTACATATCTAGCACACAATTCGAATGTATTTATATATTTTTAGCGCTTTAAACTTATGCATGAAAAAGTGTACTTCACTTTTAAGAAGGGTTAATAGTGTCATTTTTGATGTGACATTAAAGATTTTGAGTACAACAAACCTTTATCCCAATAAGTGGGGTCAGCTATAAGAATCATTTTTCTCCATTGCGTCCTATTGAGTGTCATTTTCATTTAATTCTAATAAATTAAGATCATTTTATATACAATATGTCCAAGTCTTTCTAGGTATACCTCTGTCTTTCTTAACACAAGTCGAATCTAAAACATCTACTCTCATAACTGAGTCATCAGATAGTCGATATTTAATGTGATCAAACCATCTCAGCCAGCTCTCCCTAATTTTGTCCACCACTGAAGCTACACCAACCCTATCACGGATATATTCATTTTGTTTTTTGTCTCTAAGTGAAAAGCCACTCATCCACCTAAGCATTCTTATCTCAGCAACACTTATTTGTTTTATGCTTCACTTTAAAAGGCCAACATTCTGCGTCATAGAGCATTGCAACAAAGATTTTGAGTGCCATGTGTGTAAATATAAAAGTCCAGGTGTGCGGTATATAAATAAACAAGAGTTGTGTGCCACGTATGTAAATAATAATATTATCGCACTGAGTAGGGTCGACTACATGAATCCTTCATCTCCATCGTGTCCTATTAAGTGTCATATTTTCATTTAATTCTAATAAATTAAGATCATTTTCTATACAACATACACAGGCCTTTTTATGTCTATATCTACCCTTCTTAACATAAGCCAAATCTAAAAATCTACTCTTCTGGCTGGTTCAATAAATTGTCAAAGCTTAATGTGACCAAATCGTCTAAGGCGGCACTCTCTAATCTTTTCTGCCACTATAGGTATTCAAACTCTTTCACGGATATATTTATTTTGCATTTTCTCTCTAAGTGTAAAGCCACTCATCCAACCAGAGCATTCTCATCTCAGCAACACTAAACATATTTTTTTGTTTTTCTTTTGCAGGCCAACATTCTGCGCCATAAAACATTGCAAGTCTGATGCATTGTTTCACTTCAATCATCCAACTTGAATTCTACAAATAACATCCCCATCTATATCACCATCACTTGAAGCAATAGACACGAGATATCTAAAACATTCACTCATTTTAATGTCTTGATCACCCATTAACAAACCCACCATTAGATCTATTACTACTAAAATTATATTTCATGTATTCAATTTTAGATATACTCAAATGAAAGCCTTTTCACTTTAAGGTTGACCTCCATAATTTAAGTTTTTTTTTCTTGAACTCTCTCTCTCTTATCTTATCCACAAGAAATGTATCATCAGTGAAAAGCCTAAACTAAGGTACATCCTCCTATCAATGTCCTATAAGAACATCCATCACTAAAGAAAAAAGATACGAGCTTAAAGCCGATCCGTGATGTAATCAATAAAATAAGAAAATACTTGCCCAATCCTCCTTGTGTTCAAACGCAAGTAACAACTCCATAAACCCCTTTCTTTCCTCTAACTCTCCACCGTCATTTTCTTGGATCTTTATTATAAGCTTTTCTAAATTAACAAAGATCATATTCCTCCTTACTCTCTATGTACTTCTCCATCAAATCTTTCAATAAATGCATAGCTTCCATATTAGACTTTCCTTGAAGCACCTAAATCAAATTTCATTGTACTGAATCACATGTCATCACAAAAAATAAAATTAATATACAAAAACAAAAACACCAACAATACTTTATCCCCATAAGTGGGGTCGGTTACATCAATCATTTCTATCTATTGCGTCCTATTGAGTGTCATATTCTCATTTAATCTTAATAGTTCACGATCAATTTTTATATAATATTCCAAAGTATTTTTAGGTCTATCTCTGTCTTTCTTAACATAAGTTTAATCTAAAGCATCTACTCTCCTAATATTCCCAAGATCATCAGATGGTCGACGTTTAATGTGACCAAATCATCTAAGACGACTCTCTCTAATCTTATCTGCCACCGGAGTTACACCAACCCTATCACGGATATATTCATTTCGCATTGTCTCCAAGTGTCAAGCCACTCATCCACTTAAGCATTCTCATCTCAGCAAGACATAACTTTGTTTTATGCTTTCTCTTTTTAAGGCCAACATTCTACACACTAGAGCATTGCAGGTTTCGTCGCCATCTTATAAAATTTTCCTTTCAATCGAAGCGGCACTTTTCTATCACACAATAGTCCCGATGCATTCCTCCACTTCAACCAACCAACTTGAATTCTACTAATAACATTCCCATCTATATCTCCGTCACTTTGAAAAATAGACCCGAGATATCTAAAATGTTCACACCTTTTAATGATTCGATCAACCATAGTTACAACTTTGTCACTAGAGTTACAACTACTAAAACTACATTCTATGTATTCAGTTTTAGATCCACTCAAATGAAGGACATTAAACTCCAATGTAAACCTCCATAATTCAAGATTTTCCTAAACTCTTTCTCTAGTCTTATCCACAAGAAGGGTATCATCGGCGAAAAGCATACACCAAGGAACCTCCTCTTGCAAATGTACAATAAGAGCATCCATAACTAAAGCTAAAAGATTTGGGCTTAAAGTCGGTCCTTGATGTAATCCAACCGAAATAGGAAAATACTTAGTCTTATATAATAGGAAATTTTTATAAATACCACACAATTCCTATGTGTTTACATATCTAACACATAAAAATTGGTATTTACACTTATAACACTTTGGTATCGTAAAGCTATGCATGATAATGTATGTTTCACTTTTAAAAAGTTCACAATCGTGATATTTTTTATGTGACGACCGTTATAAATGTAAGTATGAAAATTTACGAGTTAGATATTTAAATACACAAGAATTGTGTGGTATGCATGTAAATGCTCCTATTTTTTTAATTTCAACTTGAGATATAAGTTTAGTCTTATATGTATCTCAACAATATATCTTGCATCAAAGTCATTAAGGAGAAAACATAAACCCAATTCTTAGGAAGAAGGAACATCAAGGATCACATTTTAGCCCAATATATAAGTGATTATGAACCCAAAAGTTTAAACCAAGTCATTACAAGTATATAAGGAAGCCAACCCTTATCTTTAATTTCAATTTGAGATTGTTTTCATCCTTAATGCATCTCAATAATATCCTTCAACTATGTTAGTTCCACGCCTTGACTATTACCCCATTCAAATAAACTTTGTATCATCAACTCAATTATTTGGAGTCATTATGAGAGATTACATGCTTTAGAACCTTGCTCATCACGATAAAAAACAATAAAAAATTTGTGAAAGCCACAAGCTCCATGAAATTTGTTTTCATAACACTTATTATAAAAGTATTGCAAGCCCAAATTAAGCCAAGACATTAATAGAAGGACTCCCATCAACCTAACAATCATAGCCAATTGGTGAGCACTCAACCAATTTACTACGCTTTCGAGCATGTGAGAGCCTTATAAAGAAGAATGATAGAGAAGATGTGCTTACCAGAGAAAAAGTTGGCCTCAGAGGAAGGTTGTGATGGAGGTGGCCGGGAGCCGGCACTGGTTAAAAGAGGACGCCGCACCTGGCAAGTCCTGTTCAGGTTGAGAAGCTCAAAGGTCGCAACAGGATAACCGGTTTTAGTGATTACACGGAAAGGAATGAAACGAGGAAAAGGAGAGAACGAAGGTTGTAGGGCAACGAACGATGCTGCAAGGTAAGCCATAGGCTGATGGTAACTTCTTATGGATTGAAAATCTGGAAACTTGGATAGCTGCACTACATCTACTTTACAAACCTGCAATAAAATGGAAACAAAAAAAGAGCAAATTAATGTCATATAAACCAGAAAATTGTTGTAGAAAGTTAAAAAAGAGGTAATTACTGCTAGTAAATGGAGATCGATGAAGAATATTTGCAAATTTATGTCTTAAAAACAGAAATTTGTTCGAGGAAGTTCAGGTCGAAATACAGGGGAGGAGAAGACTGGTCTGGAAGGATGGCTGTTGCGGGGATGTAAGCCAGTCGAGTCGTGCTCAATCTGGCGAGTTCGGCGAGTTCGACTTCAAGGTTAAATTTATCTATGAAGAATAATAAAAAACTATCAATATAATACAAAATATTATTTTTTTAATATTTTTAATATTTTAAAAGTAAATACTTTAAATTTAATATATTTTTAATTTATTTTATGCTATTATTTTTTTAAACTAAGAGGCTAACGAGCTAACAGAGTCGAATTGGGACAAACTTGAACTTGGCTTGTTAGCTCATCGAGGACCGCTCACGAGGCACATATCGAGTTGAGCTTAGGTGGGATCACGAGTAGACTTGACTCACACCACTAGTGGCTAGAGTTATCAGATGTCCTGACTCGCTTGCGAGTTATCATCATTTATGGAAATGAAAATGTAATTTTCTATTTTTTTATAATTTTTAAAATGATAAATACCACAAAGATGAATGTATATATATATTAAAGAATGGTCGGAGTCTATGATACGAGCCCAGATCATTCCTTAGCGCATATAATTTGAGTACTACGCCCTATACTCGGGGGGATCAAACCCCAGACCAGATGAAACTTACAACCGACAAGCAGATGTTCGAACAACCGATCTGGGCACGCGGCACACACACACACACAACACACATATATATATATATATATATATATATATTTTTTTTTATTTATTTATACACACACACACATACAACTGACAAGATTAGCCAGAGATTATTAGATCAGCCTCTTGATTAACCTCGCCTAAAAATTTCATTTTACACATAGGCGGAATCGAACCCGTGACCTCAGGAGGTCTTAAAAACTCTACAAACCAAAGAGTCATAGTAGGCGACACACACACATATATATATACAACTTTTAATAACATAATTATGTAAGAAACTAAAAATTTGTATTTCATTTTAAGAATTTAGCATTAATAATATTTTTGAAGTGATGCTAATAATTTATGTGTAATATAAAAAATATTAAATTAGAGATTAAATACTTAAATTTTTATGAATAATATGATATGTATTTAAATCCCTTGAATTTAATAGGTGAAAATTAAATTTATTTAATAAGTTTTTAAAATAAATATTATTCATTTTATTTACTTTTTAAACTAATATATATTAATATTTTAGAAAGAAAAATAATTACCTATCTCAGCCCCCATAATGTCTACGAAAAAATTTCTTCCAGAGAGGAGTTTGATGTTGCATAATGTATTTTATCAGATTGATTATTATGTAACATATATAATTATAAAAAATTGCACAAATAATTATCAAATATATGACAATTATAATTAGAAATTCTATACTTTGACCACAATAACTTTTTTTTAGCAGAATAATCTAACTTATTTATGTTGTCCAACTCAAAGCAAACCTACCATAGGATTCACTAAGATTCAATCTAGTCAACTAAGATTCAATCTAGTCAAACAACATTTAATTTGAAGTATATCCATTCAGCGAGACTAGCATGACTAAACAACATCTACCAAAAAAAATATTTATTTCATTATTACTTGAATCAATTTCAACATATCCCATGGCTGGTCATGAATTGATCATAAATTCAAGCCCTAATCTAGCCCTTTGACCATGCTAAATCTCTATCAAATCTGTTCAACATGGTTAACTGATATGTTGATAATTTTACACTTATTGTTACTTGTATTTTTGAATTTTAAATGATAATAATGCACTTTGAGGAAGTTTTTATGTTGTTTTTGCAAGCTATAACAGGAAATGGAACAAACGGGAGTCGAAATGAATTGAAATGAAGAAAAAGGAGCAAAATGGTGTTTTGGCGCCTAGGCGCTAGGACTTGGCCCCTAGGTGCTAGAACCAGTCCATTTGCAGTCAAAATACAAAGCAATCAAAATCCTGGTGCTAGAATTGGAGCGTCGGGGCACTGGATTTGTTGTGTTGGGTCGCCAGCTTTCAGCGTCTAAGCGCTAGACTTCGGAGAAGATTTCTCGAGCGCTTGGAAAATTGAAGTTGGACATGGAGTGCTAGGATGCCATAAGAGCAGTGCCAAGGTGTCGCGACACTAATGCCTAAGCGCTGTAGAAGGGTAAATAGTAGCGCCCCATTGCCACATATGGGCGCCCTGACGACAGTACCCAAATTTTGACAGTTTGTGTAGTTCAAACTTTAGTTCGCTATGGAGAAGATATAAATTGGACGAATACAAACATTTGGGGGCTTTTACATCATTTTTCTTTGTCATTTTGAGAGAGGAATTGGAGAAGAAGTCCAAAGCTTTTGCAAAGAGATTAGAAGATAGGAAAAGAGAGAGATTGGGAGGATTGAGAGAGTTAACTGTTTATTGCTAATGACATCCTCAAACTACTTATTTGTAAAGGAGAAAAGTGTACTTACATTGTATTTTCTTCAGAACTTCTTTGTAAAGACTTTGATTTTGATGTTTATGTATAAAACTAAGTTTGCTTTGATGACATTTATTATGTATAGTGATTAATCTTCTTGTTTCTCTCTTTAATTAAGAAGATAAATGGATAAGAAAAAGGATTTGAGATTTTTTGGGCTTTGATTTGAATTTAAAAAGTGTTGTGTTAACCTGAGAACTTAATTTACTTTCTACTTAGCCAGTTGATTGTTAAAACCTTTTTTGAACATTGATATCTGGAAGGATTCTATATGGAACAAAAAGAGTTAACAAAATGAACTCATTGGAATATGGATATTGCCAATGGATTCATGCAATCTTCTAAGAGTCATTTTCCATTGAGCAGATCAAGATTTTTAGGGAACTAAACTTAAGTCTGCTAATCTTCTTTAGACTACTGGAAGGGGATAAGGAAGAAATTTTCTCCTAATTGACACTATTTTTTAATCTAATCCTTAGTTCTATTCACCACTTGATCAATCAAAGAGAGAATTCTCAACACCTGATTTGATAAAAAAATCTTTTTGTTTGTTAGGATAGACATGTTTTTCATAACTTTCCGATAAATTGAACTTGCAAATCAAATTCTTGAGGCATGGACTGATAGTAGTAGGCTAGAACTTTTCCTTCATTGAGTTCTTCTAGTTATTCGCGGGATCGACAACCGTACTCAAACTTGGTACTACTGATATGACACATATTTGCGTGAGCAGCTTGTACTTCATAGCACTTGGTGTGTGTCAAGTTTTTGCAACTAGGCTCTAGTCAATCTCATGCAAACCTTTCATTCAATGTTCACCCATGGTCGAATTTGAATTGTTGTAAAAATATGCATTTTTAATTCAACTTAAACACTTCTTTTGTATGCAATGATAGGACCAAAATCAACATTCTTATAATGATGCTCTCACAATGATGCAATCAATGTCAATTCAAAGCCAATGCTTCAAATGACTCACAAAACAAAGGTTATTTTTAATATAGGAGGAAAATAATATAAGATTATAACTTTTTGCAACCTTTGGCTCATTATTTAAGAAAACAGAGAAGTCAACTTTTAATAATGTGCATGACGGCTAATTGAAGGGTAGAATTTTTACTCCATATTAACAAACCAATTGAAGGAGAATGAAGATGGGGACTTGTGAAATTGATTGATATTATATGTTTATGATATGATTTGGATGCTATTGAATTGGTTGAGGAATTAGTATTTAGACAAAGCTTTGTTTAGAAGAGTGAAAAAGGAGAGTAAAAAGAATGAATAAATATTGATATAAATGAGCCTCCAGGCACTATATATATATA